TAGCACGGCCAATCCACCCTAATCTGCACATCCCTGGGCACTATGGGGTAATTTATCACGGCTAATCCACTCTAATCTTTGGACCGTGGGAGGAAACCGGAGCACCTGGAGGAAACCTACGCAGACACGGGGAGAATGCGCAAACTCCACACATACAGTCACCCCAAGGGTGGAATCGAACCTGGGTTCCTGGTGCCGTGAGGCAGTAGCGCTAACCGCTGAGCCACAGTGCATGCCCCACGTAGCAAAAAGGGTTAAGGTTAAGAAAGCACATTCATAGTGACCTTAGTCAGCTACAGGAACTGAACCCAAGTGAAAAGCCTTCTTACACAATGACTGTGCAGGATCTTGGACATGATGCCCTTGACTGTGGGGGGAATGCAGTGGCTTTCGATGGGGGAACTGGATAATGATCGAAATTGAACACTCTGATGTGTGTCTGTATGAGAGAGAGAGGAGCAAGTCAGTAATAATCTGGCCGTTGTGTGTCTAATCAGAGCTGTCTGGTCAAATATCATTCAGTCCTCGAAGTTGCTATTCTGAGCTGAGCTGGAAGTGGCATCATTTCACTAAAAATAGGAAATGAGGAAATTTAAAGCACTTTCAGCATCTGATCCATTTTACAGGCACAGAACCAACACAGAAACCTGCGATAGGAACCTAACTGCCTACTTTAGCAAGCCATTACTTTAGTGAGTGTTACGTCAACCTTTAAACTTAAGTGGATTGGTGCAAAGACATCTTGTTTTTTAAATTATTCGTTAACAGGGCGTCGCTGGCCAGGCCCAGCATTTATTGCCCATCCCTAATTGCCCAGAGGGTAGTTAAGAGTCAACCACACATTGCTGTGTGGGTCTGGAGTCACATGTAGGCCCAGACTAGGTAAGGATGGCAGTTTCCTTCCCGAAAGGGTATTAGTGAACCAGATGGGATTTTCCCCAACAATTGACAATGAATTCACAGTCATCATTAGATTCTTAATTCCAGATATTTTATTGAATTCAATTTCCACCATCTGCCGTGGTGGGATTCGAACCCCAGTCCCCAGAACGATAGCTGGGTCTCTGGATTAACCGTCCAACGATAATACCACTAGGCCATTGCCTCTCCCTCTCTTGGCACAAGAATTAAGTCAGGATTTTGGTGAGGGCACACTTGGAGTCCTCTGTACACATTTTATCCTCCTTATTTAAGAGAGAAAGTTCCTGCCTTAAACACAGAGGGTAGCTGTACTGTCAATACGGAGACCCAGGTAATGCCCTGGGTGGGGACCTGGGTTTGAATCCTGCCACAGCAGATGGTGGAGCTTGTATTTCAATGTTATTTTTTTAAAAAAAACCTGCAATCGCGAGTCTAATGATGACCACGAATCCATTGTCGGAAAAATCCCATCCGGTTCACTCAGGCCCTTTAGGGAAGGAAACTGCCATCCTTACCTGGTCTGGGCCTACATGTGACTCCAGACCCACACAGCAATGCGGTTGACCCTTAACTGCCCTCTGGGGAAATTAGGGATGGGGCAATAAATGCTCCGATACCCCCATCCTGTGAACGAATGGAAGAACGATACTGACAGGCAGAGATGAGAGGAAATTTCTCCTGTTAGGACGTTTGGAATCTCCAATGAGAGTGACTTGACTGGTGGTGAGTATGACCACGACTCTCGCAGGGGGTGGGGGAATGGTTAAATAGGCAGTGACCTCAGCCAGAATCGAACCCACGAAGTAGCCATCCCAGCCCCCCACAGAGCCAACCCTCAGGGGGACGCGAGACGAGGATGCGCAGGGAGGCGGGGACGATGGAGAGAAGGGAAAATCCTGGAGTTACGCCAGAAGCGTGCTCCATGGGCTTAATCCGTCTCCCAAGTCGGCATTCAGCGGTTGGGGGGGGTGGGGAGCTGCAGAGAAAATCTGGCACACGGCCTAGAGTCCGAATGGTTTTGGGTTAATTGTCTTAATCTTACGCCTGTTTTACAAGCTGTCCTGCATCGGCACGCAATCTGACTTCTCCCTTCTCGTACATGCAACACAGAGAGCATTGTACAGTGTCACACCCAAACAGATAACCTTATCCATCATAGGCTTCATCCTGTCTGCTTGGCTATAGCGCCAGGTCATAATGTCAGGGAGAAATGACTTCGTCCTGTAGATTATAGACACTAGAGAGGAAACTAAATTTAGAGTCAGAAATCCCAGCGTCTCCACCTGGGGCTCAGGGCAGGTTAAATTGGAGTGCCAACTCCCTTCAAGGAATGTTATTTTCATTTTAATTGGGTCTGGCCAATGAAGTGACTCCAACCTACACGAGGCGAGGGTGTGACAAAATTCCTTTCCACTGAGAACAAACGTTAACAAGCCAGCAAGTGTGTGTCAGTGTTCTCAGCAAAGAAGGAAGTACAAGAGTTGACCAAGAATTGGGGGAGGAGATGGCCCAGTGGTATTATCGCTGGACTGTTAATCCAGGTGACTTTCTGGGGACCTGGGTTCAAATTATTGAATTTAAATTCAAGAAAATATCTGGAATTTTAAAATCTAACGATGACTGTGAATTGATTTGTTGGGGGCAAAAACCCCATCTGGTTCGCTAATGTCTTTTAGGGAAGGAAACTGCCATCCTTACCCAGTTTTGGGACTACAAGTGACTCCAGACCCACACAGCAATGTGGTTGACTCTTAACTGCCCCTAATGGGCAATAAATGCTGGGCCCAGCCAGCGACACCCCTCATCCCGTCAATGAATAAAGGGAAAAATTAAAATCAAATCAGGAGCTTTTCTTTTCCCCCCTCACACCGTAGCAGTTAACTGGGTAAGTTGACAGAGATTGTAAAGCCGAAACGTCAACTTTCCTGCTCCTCTGATGCTGCCTTTTCTCCAGCTCCATACTGTGTCTTCTCTGACTCCAGCATCTGCAGCCTTTGCTATCTTGAAGTCAAACCAATTCGCCTGTTTAACAGTATGTCCTGCACAAGCTACACAAACAAAAAAATAAACTAGCTGGCTGCAGGGACGTGGTAAGTTTACTCGCCAGGCCCTTTGCTGACCCAGTAAGACGAAACAGCTGCCTGGTGGGGGTCAGCCTGGACCCAGGTTGAACACACAAACAGCCTCAAACAAACTTCCCGGTGTGCAGACCAGGAGAGGCTCCCGTTTCTACTACTTACAACAGCAGCTGCCATGATTCCCTCCCACGGGAATGTCAATCCTTCTTCGACTCCCACTGCAGGGAGGCTCTGCTGGCCAAGGGAGTCTGGCAAAAGTTCTCAAAAGCACTTCCTGCTTCTTTAAATGTCATCACTTATTTGCACGGCTTCCTGCTTCCTTGTCGATTAGCATTCAGAGACCAGCCTTTCTCCTTGCCGAAGCTCAGGAATGTGTGTATGACTAGATCACACTGGTATTCAACCCGCACTCCAAGCGAAATGCTTCAGATTGTTTGCTCTTCCTACCTGAGAGGATAGAAGGACAGACAGACAGGAAGAAGTAGGGGGAACATTGACGCAATTAGCAACATTTTATTCTGCAAAGCAAAATAAAGTGGAAACTTATTGTAAGTCAAGTGGACTTTCACAGGGAAGATACAGTGAAAAGTTTTATAAATCAGGCCCGTCGTCAGTGACAGAAATCATACGTTATAATTAAAAAGATGTAAAATTAAGACAAAGTTAATCGCTAGGGGCTTGGGAGAGACAAGGCACTATAGTCTTACCAGGCTATAGGGGGCTGCTCTCTCATTACAGAGTCAGAGAGAGAGTGAGGGGGGACGACTGGTGGTGGATTAACCTGAGGGTTTCCGTACCTCAGGCGAGGGGAGACATCAAGGAGGAGAGTCCTTTGTGGTAATCTCAGCCGGTGATGGGGAAAGCCAGCGAAGGGCTGATGGAAGACAAGACCACCATTCCAGGACGAGACCGCCACACCGAAGTCGCTGGAACGCTGAGCAGGCCGAAGAAGACCACCAAGCCGGGGCTGAGACTGCCACTCCTGGGCAGGACCTGCCGCCGGGATACCTGGACGCCGAAGGCGAAGAAGAACTCCACGCGGGGTCGAGACTGGCACCGTCGGGTGCCCAGGCCTAGCTCTTTGTACCTGGAGCCTTGGCCTACCTGGGGACCTGGATCCTGGGCCTACTGCATACCTGGACCCTCGGCCTAGCTGGGGACCTGGAGCCTTGGCCTTGCTCTTTGTACCTGGAGCCTTGGCCTACCTGGGGACCTGGAGCCTAGGCCTAGCTGGGGACCCGGAGCCTTGGCCTAGCTGTTCACATGGGGCCTCGGCCTAGCTACATAGCTGGAGCCTTGGCCTAGCATGCGGAGCTGGAGCCTTGGCCTAGCTGTGTACCTGGAGCCTTGGCCTAGCTGGGAACCTGAAGCCTTGGCCTACCTGGGGACTGGAGCCTTGGCCTACCTGGGGACCTGGAGCCTTGGCCTAGCTGCAGAGTGGAGCCTCGGCCTAGCTGCATACCTGGAGCCTTGACCTAGCTGCATACCTGGAGCCTTGGCCTAGCTGGGGACCTGAAGCCTCAGCCTAGCTGGGGACAGGAGCTTAGCTGTACTGTTTGAGCCATAGGGAGAGGCTGGATAGGCTGGGGCTATGTTCCCTGGAGTGTCAGAGGTTGAGGGGTGACCTTATAGAGGTTTATAAAACCATGAAGGGCATGGATAGGGTGAATAGTGAAGGTCTTTTCCCCAGGGTAGGGGAGTCCAAAACTAGAGGGGCATAGGTTTAAGGTGAGAGGGGAAAGATTTAAAAGGGACCTGAGGGGCAGCTTTTTCACACAGAGGGTGGTGCGTGTATGGAACGAGCTGCCAGAGGAAGTGATGGAGGCTGGTACAGTTATAACATTTAAAAGGCATCTGGATGGGTACATGTATAGGAAGGGTTTAGAGGGATATGGGCCAAATGCTGGCAAATGGGACTAGATTAATTTAGGATGTCTGGTCAGCACGGACAAGTTGGGCCGAAGGGTCTGTTTCCGTGCTGTACAATGCTGTGATTCTATGCTAAGTTTGTTGATGTTGAGGTGATCTCTCTGGTTTTGAGGAAATTTACAGAATGTGAATAGACTACATTGTTACCTACATCCCACCGGCTGTGAAAGGCTTGGGATTTCTCCGGGGCACCCATTTCTTTGAAATAGTCGCCCCTCAGGGACCCAACAGTCATGTTTCATACACAGAGCTCCGGTATTGAGAGTTGACAGTGTCGCTAGTCTTGGGTGTCGTTCGTGTAAACTCTTGAGAAATGGATTAGTTTGATTCAAACGAAACATTGTGACCCACCAGGTGGCCGTTCAGCCCACTAAGTCCATGTCAGCTCTCTCTTCAGCAATCCCATCAGTCCCACCCTCCCCCCCATTCTAGTCATAGAGTCACACAGCACGGAAACAGACCCTTTGGCCCAACCAGTCCATGTCGACCATAATCCCAAACTAAACTAGTCCCACCTGCCTGCTCCTGGCCCATATCCCTCCAAACCTTTCCCTATTCATTTACTTATCCAAATGCCTTTTAAACGTTGTAACTGTACCCACATCCACCACTTCCTCTGGAAGTTCACTCCACACTCAAAACCACTCTCAGTGTGAAAAAGTTGCCGCTCAGGAGCTTTTTAAATCTTTCTCCTCTTGCCATAAAGTGTGCTCCCCTAGTCTCGAAATCCCCCACCCTCAGGAAAAGACACCTGCTATTCACCTCATCTGTGCCCCTCATGGTTTTATAAACCTCCATAAAGTCACCCCTCAACCTCCTATGCTCCAGAGAAAAAAGTCCCAGCCTCTCCTTATAACTCAAACACCCCAATCCCAGCAACATCCTGGTAAATCTCTCCCGAGCCCTCTCCAGTTTAATAATATCCTTCCTATAATGAGACGACCAGAACTGGACACAGTGCTCCAGAAGAGGCCTCACCAACGTCCTGTACAACCTCAACATGACGTCCTGACTCCTAGTCCTGCAAGTTTATTTCCCTCGTAAAATCACTGATGGGTTACCTGTGCCTCTGTGTCTGAAGAAATTCAACTCTGTGGTTCCCTAATACGGTGATCCCCGACAGAATAAGTTCGATAGTGATTGTGTTGTGCCCATATATTTCCAAAGCTTGAGGCAACGCAAGAGGCTGCGAAAATGATGGTGACGATGGTGTGGGCCTGGATCTCATCCATTCCACTCGCCTTCCTTTTATATTTCCTTCCCTTTTCCGCTGTTTTCTCGGTTTTCTTCTTCTGGTCTTTTTCTTGTTTGGTATTTGTTGCCTAACACTTGGGGGCCGTGGAGGCAGCTGTGGGGGGTGGGGTGTGTGGGGCGGTGGGGGGGCTAGTGGTGATGGAGCATGGCAGTAGCTGGGTCCCAGCATACGCCTGGATGGCAGCGGCAGCGAGGTGGTAGTGGGTGGCAGCCGTGGTGCTGTGGCGGGTGAGGCCTGGGGCCCCCAGGTGGGTCATAACCCAGCCCTGGGGCAGAGCGAGCCATCTGGGGGGAAAATCCCGGCCTGGAGCATCTGCAGGCCCATGGCTTAAGAAAGGACCACAACATTTGGCGTTTTAACTTTGTCTCTTTTATCCATCCTCAGGAGACTTTAGTGCTGAGCTTTTCAACTTATTTCTTTACCTTTCTGTAAGGTTTTGCAACTGGGCACTTTGTACCTCAGGTGGTGCGGTGTGTGGTAACATTGTCCACTTTTTCACTGCAATCCTGTCCTGGACTACACGTGACAACAAAATCTAAATTGAAATTGAAATCAAAATCAAAATCCAAATTGAAATCAAAATCGAGATCAAAATCGAGATCCAAATCCAAATCCAAATCCAAATCCAAATCAAAATGAAAATCAAAATCCAAATCAAAATCGAAATCGAAATTGGAATTGAAATACTTGACATTGTGTTACTGATACCCCCGGTGCCATCTTGACAATTCCTGGTCTAGAATTCCTCGGCTGTTTGCAACTCCTGATCTTCTTGTGAGAAGTGCAATGCAAATGTGATTTCTATAGAGAAGCCTCAGCCTGCCAAATGCTGAAAGGACATGGACTTTATGTAACATCATGTGGGAACTGTTGTGCAATTCGCTTCTGCAGATGGAATATTCTTTAGTAAGAACGTGACGGTGACAAAATACCAGTATGCCAGTGCAGCCCGATCGATTTCCTGTTTCCCCGCCAACTTATGAGAGACTCCGCACCCTTTCTTTTCTAGGCGAGCGGGTTTATGTTTAGCCAATCCACAATGGGACAGGGTTCCTGTTTTGCAGGGCTGGATCACGCCGGCGTTTCCAAGCGCGGAAAATAGTTTGCAACGACGGCGGGTAACAGGCAGAACAGTTCGTTGGAAAAGGGGGAAGAACATTGACCGGGTAGGGGGTAGGGAGAGTGGCTTGTTAGTGCAAGGGGCCAGTTCGGAACCTCGACCAGTCTTATCCCGACATCTTGCAAATTTTTCAAGTTTGTTTTTGAATCTGCTCCACCATTCAGTTAGATCATGGCCAAATAGTATCTCAACCACACTTTCCCGCCTTTGGTCCTTATCGTGCAACATCCTGAGTTGAATCATTGATCGTCGTTCACATTTTAGAGAGCATGACTTGGCAAAATACGATGAATGATTTCAGTTGTCGCCGTAGTCCAGCACCACGTTGAATGGTTTTTGAGAATAAAACGACATCATTGGAAGGGAGCCCATCATCATTCTCCCATCTTCACCACGAGCCCTGAGCTGGTTCACCTGTGCCAAACCCACCAACCTGGGAGCTGCCACTCTCCAGGTGCCATATCTTCACCATTGGGCCCATCTTGCCATCATCACCGCCCATGCTTAACCCCCATTTGCACCACCGCCCCCCCCCCACCACAGTCAGGAAACCCCAGATCCGCTGAGCCGTTTCCAGGGGTTCCTGGTTTTGGGCCTACTGCAACCAGCCGCTGCTGCCTCCCCCACTCCCAGTTTACCAGGGGTCCTCCCCACCCTGACTCCGGGCCTACCAAGAGACTCTGGCTCCGCTACCAGGCCAGGCCCTCGCTCGCCAAGAGTCCCACTCCACAACCCCCTCCCCTGAAAGGTCACCTTCTCCACCTTTGCGGCGACAGGAAGAAAATGAAGAAAAGAAGGAAGAGGTAAGGAAAGTAGCTGAAAAGGGCGAGGAAGAAGGAAGGGAGCAGCTGGACCCAGCAACACAAACACTTTTGCCTGATAAAAGACTCAGCCCTGACAGCGCTATGGCCCCGCGGGTCTTTATCAGTGCTGAGAAATCAAATTTCTTTATTCCGCGCCCCCCCCACCACCCCAACTGCCATTTGTCCGAAATGGCACAAATTTAATGCCAGGTCCTTTCTTCAAATTGTCCCAATCCATTCACCCTGCTCTAACGCCTTGATAAAA